GCAGCGAGACCCACTGACCACGTGAGCACTCCCACTGCTACCCCACCCACAGAAAGCAACTGGCAAAGCAAGAGAAAGGAATCAATCCAACCTGGAAAATGAAGTGCAAAAGTAAGCAAAGAATGTCCTGCCATTTGGGAAACAGCTATATCCTCACCACCTTACAACGCCTAAACAAGACCCAGGAACATCCAACTGAATAACTAAGTATAATTTTAATTAATTATTCGTAAGTAAATGTGCATCTTCAAGTCAGGAACAAGAAATTGGGAATGAAACATTTAGAGATTTTAGACACAAAAATATTGAAATTAAAATCTTAATCAAGTAAAGTGGCAGAAAAACTTTTACATAAAGGGGTGCTGTACTCAAAATGCTTGGGAGCATGAGGCACGAAAACCAGAGTTCAAGTAAGCCTGGGCTACAGCATGAGATGCTACCAAAAAGAAGGGGTGGTGAGAGAGGGGGAGAAAGGATTCAGCAACAGAAAATAACAAACCTAAGAACATCAGGAGAGATCCAGAATTACCAACTCAGCCCACAGGAGACCTGTAAAGAGGACAAAAATGGTGGGGTGCTGGCAGCTGAAACCAGAAGGTAAGTGACCTTCAAAGACCAAGGAAATCACAAGGTTTTTCAAGGAGTCCAGAGCAACTGTTGCAGAAAATATGTATCCTTCCCTATGTGTTCAAGCAGCAGTCAGAGCCAGGTCATGAGAGCTTTTGTATTTCAGATCAGGAGTTTGTAACACAAAGTTACTAACATGAATACAAAGGCTGGATAAGAAGAGAAGTCCCAAGGGGAGCCTCTTCTGTGGCTTCAAAGGAGCTGGATACAATGGCACCTGCAGTGGTGTGTACCCCAGAACCCAGCGGGTCATTTCTGAACCTCATCCCCACTGAAGGGAACCTGAACTGCTAGAGCAATATCTGCGCTTTGATGTCTTCCAGCAAGTAAGGAAAAGCTAAAACTGGCTGGACCTAGCCTGAAGACACCTTCTAAGATATGGACCATATAATGCACAGAGTAATAGGCCATTAAGTGTTGACCTTTAAAAATAAGTCTTTATAAATCATAAGAACTGGGGGACAGAGAAAAGTGGGAGCTGTTCTAGAGGAAAACCAATCACAGTAGGAGGGAGGAGAGTCTACACTATTGCAAGCATCTGTATGGCAATGGAAAGGATTATACAAAATAACGGACCAAGATTCTTTAAAAATTTCCATATCATGAAGCCCCCCCAAGAAAAAAAGTGAATTAAAGAGTAGAGAGATAAGATAACTACACGTATTATAGTATTTATGACTTGTAATGGGAAAAAACCCTGTAATTGACATTATTGAAATAAGCTAGAAAATGTAAATGTGGATATTTTAAATAGTATAGTAGATAACAATATGTTATATTTCTTGAGTGATGGCCATACTAGAGATAAGAAGTGAATAATAGTCTTGTTCTTATGATGAATATTGAGCAATCAGGAGTGAAAAAAAATCCCATGTTAAATGTAGTCTCAAATGATTTATAAGAGAAAAGTGTGTGTGTGTGTGTGTGTGTGTGTGTGTGTGTGTGTGTGTGTGTGTGTGTTTTAAAATTCTGCAATTCAATGTTTTATTCTTGCCAATTTTTTTTCGGTTAGAAATTTGGGGGGGGGGGGTGAAGGATGAAGTTCCTGGAGAATTCAGAGCACCGACTGTGCTGATCTGACTTGTATTCTGACCTAACTACTCTGAGTTTATTTCAGAAATAGGGGAAGCAAAAACAGGAGGCCAGAGGCCAGTCCACCAGGAAGCTTCAGCTTCTACGCCTTCTGTAGTTTCTTTGCAAATCCCTGGGAGAAAACTCAACAATGTATTCTCCCACACAGTTACACACTGCTGTAAAATTGGCAAAGTAAAATACATTATTTGATTAAGATCACTGTCTCTGTCAGGCAGTGGGGTGCAGACCTTTAATCCCAGCACTGGAGGCAGAGGCAAATAGATTTCTGAATTTGAGGCCAGTATGGTCTACAAAGTGAGTTCAAGGACAGCCAGGACTACACAGAGAAACCCTGTCTCAAAAAAACAAAAAACCTGTCTCTCTCCAATCTTAAGTTGGTATTGAATGACGCCACTCTGAAGGAGCCATCTGTGTTTTCTAGATGCTACTAAATGAATTAACTTTAGGTTCAGAAAGCTGTCACTCATGGTCTCCAGCACCTCCTGAAACAGGTAAGTGTGTGGTAACTGTCCTGGTACTGGAGTGACTTTCAGAAACATATGGCCACATGGTGCAGACATGACATGAGAAATCACAATGCTGAACTGAAATATGAACATGGACTCAGTTGTCTGGGGCCAGAAAGATGTAGAGTGAAGAAATTAGAAAAAGCAAGAAGTACTTAACACTCTCTTCTCTCTACAGGAAATATCACAATAATCCACATGAAAATAACATCAAGACATTACAACCACAAAGACAAAAGAATAAATAAAAAATAGACACAAATAAATAAAGACATGGTAAGCTGTTAAACAGAAGCCTACTTTAGACATGTATGGCATCTGGCAGGTTTGTCATAATTGAAATTTATTGTGTTTTCCTTGTACATTATAAATACTTGTTTTTCTATTTGTATGTGCCCGAATCTGTGGGTGTAAAATTGGATAAAGTTGAGGACTTACAAATATCTTCAGCTTACCCTTTTAGAAAACTATCACCATGAAAGATTAAATGAGGGCCTGGAGAAATGGTTTGGCAGCTAAGAGCACTTACTGATCCTGCAGAGGGCCCAGATTCGGTTCTCAGCACCCACACTGGGCAGCTCACAACCACCACTCTAATGTGAGGGAATCTTAACACCCTCTTCTGGCCTCTGAGAGGACTGCATGAATAGGATAGTCAAAAACTCAGGCAGGCATATACATACACACATAATTTTTTTTTAAAAAAAAAAAAAAGCACCAAAACTTAAAAAAAGAGCAAATGACAAAGAATTTAAGCCCAATAGGGTTGACAAAATTCAAGGAGTTTGAAATTTACTTAGTATAAAATCAATCAAAGTCTTTAGCTTTCTGAATGTGGTTGCTGTGAGAGAAAGATGAGTTCAGTAGGGTCTATTTTGGGTGAACAGAGAGGTAGAAGGAATCCAGTAGTCAGAGGGTCATATCCACAGGGACACAGGTCAGGGGACAGGTTACAAGCAAAGATTCAAAGTGAAGATACCATGTACATATAAGTGTGTACAAAGAAAACCAGGGACACAACATGCGAGTTCATGACCTCGGTAGAGAGCAAGAAGAGAAGCTGAAGGGCTAACCAGGCCTCTGTGTGTTGCTGGTGCACCCAGGAGGATAGGGAGGGGACCAGAGAAGAGGGCAGAGGTTAGAAGAACCAGGCAATGGTAGCTGTAGTGGATGGTAAAGTGTTTGGATAATTTCAAAGAGAGAACTGTTACTAAAGTGTAACAACTTTGACAAGAAAGAACACAGGACTACTCTCTGGAGAACTTAAAACAATTAAACAGCTGAAGGAGAGACTCCAGGAAGCCGGCTAGGGTCCTGAAGTTGAAGGCAACTCAAGAACTAAGGAAAACCCCTTCAGGAATCATGAACAGGAGAGAAATAAGTTGGGAAAGTCCTGAGAATGTGACACCAAGGGCGAGTCAAGCCTTGTCTTCTATGTAAGTGCTAGCATGAAACGTAAACCTGCCCTCTGGTCCAACCACCCAGACCATGGAATAATCCAAAGTATCAAAAGCACAGCGGAGACAGTTTATGGCACATTCATACAGTGGCATAATACACAGCAGTTAAATGAGGAAGCAATATATACACATTCCTACTGTGCACCGCTGTTTGTATAATGTTCAAGAACAGGTGCCACTAATGTCAGAAGCCAGGACACCAGCTCCCTCCACAGAGGGTGTATTTACCTGGTGGAGCAGCACTGTAAACATTCTAAACCCTTGTCCATGGCATAGATGAATGCCTAAGTCTCTCAGGTTAGCAAATCATATGTTCCTTACTGTGCTGGCTAGTTTTATGTCAACTTGATCCCAGCTAGAGACATTTTGGGAGAGGGAATCTCAATTGAGAAAAAGCCCCACCGGATTGGCCTGTGGGTAAGCCTGTAGTACATCTTCTTGGTTGATGAATGATGGGGTAGGGCCAACTCCTTGTGGGTGGGACCACTCCTGGGTGCTGTAAGAAAGCAGGCTGAGCAAGCTATGGAGAGCAAGCCAGTGAGCAGCTCCCCTCCATGGCCTCTGAATCAGTTCCCACCTCCAGATTCCTGCCCTGCATGAGTTCCTGTGGGGACTTCCCTCAGTGATGGCCTGTTACCTGAAGTGTTAAACAGTCCCCAAGTTGCTTTTGGTCGTGGTGTTTTATCACAGCAATGGAAACCCAACCAAGACAATTTGCTATACTTAAAAAAAAAGTGTTAAAAAGAAACAAAGAATTAAAATTAAAATTTGAACACAGCCTTACTAAGCAAATTACATGGAGTAAACTTACAAAATACTACCAAATCAAAACGAGTCCTAAGTTGGTCATGAGATATCTAATGATCAAATGTACAACAGCAAAGGCAGAGAGACAGCCGGAACCACAGGAACCTACCAAACGTGTGGTAATAAACAGCCCTTTCCTAGAGCAGTGTTGTCAAGTGTTTCAGCTCACTCCTTGTTATCTGCCTAACAATCCTGCTCACATGAGTAATCTATCCTTGCCCTTCGAATGGACCTTAAGAGAGATAGCATGGCTCAAAGTCAGCCTGTGTCAAAAGAACACAATTACTGATGTACAGGAGAAGAGCAATTTACATCCAAATCACAGCGGGAGTCTGTGAGCCTCTGCTCTAGCACCTGGTTACTATATAGAACAATGAGATGACAACTGGCATTTGAACCCATGGACATTTGGCTTTCAAAAAAGAACTGTATTAATCATTAATAAACTTATCTTTGTAAACATGGTACCTCATGCTCATTATAAAGAAGAAAACCATGAACTTACCATTTTGTCTGGTCCCAACAGCAGCAATGATTACTGGAACTGAGTTTGATGCTCTTTTAATCACTGGAATATAATTATCCTTTACTTCGTGGAATGAAAACTTGTCATTTACATTGTATTTGATCACAATGATGTCAGCACCCCCAATTAGGTTTTGGGATGTGTACCAGTCACTGTCAAAAATGTCCTAAACAAAAATGCAAACATCAACTTTTAGTTTGTTTATCCTCAAGTCGATCCCCAAATCAATTGCCAGATCAGTTATAACATGTTAGTCTAAATGTTTAGTGTATGTTGGTTTTGAGACTTTATGAAAATATGTTTTTGAATGGTGTGGTGGTGTGAATGAGAATGGCCCCCCATAGAAATTGAATGCTTGCTGTCCATTTTTGAAACTGTTTCTGAGGGATTGGGAGGAGTGGCTTTGCTGGAGAAGGTGAGTAACTGGGGGCTTTGAGGTGTCAAAAGCCCAGTTACCCTTCCCTCCTTATACTTATGGATCAGATGTAACTCCTGGCTACTGATCCAGTACCTTCTCCACCGAATGACCATGGACTCAACCTCTGGTCCCACGAGCCCCAATAAACGTTTTCTTCTATACATTGCCTTGGTTGTGGTGTCTCTTCACAGCAATAGGAAAATAACTAAGACAAATGAGTAATTGCATAACATTTAATATGTCTGATGCCTGATGGTTTATTTAAAACACCTTTTCTTCATTTACCCTAAACAATGATGCACTAGTAAGGCCTGTTACCTAGAGCATTTTTGAGTGTGATGAAATGAGCAACGTCATTCCACCATCTAAACCTAAGAAGCATCTGTCTTGAAATTACTCTGATTTTAGTCACTTGAAATTTCAAAGGTGTGACAGTATGCAATAGACATCAGAAGCTTTTCTGTGACCCAGTTAGACACTGCAGGATTTTTGTGCTCTGAACTACAATACACTGTGAGTCTTGTGGTATTCCTCTTATACACATTCACAAAATCCACATATAATCTTTAACTTTATACTATATTTGTATAGCACATATTTAAGCATGGAGAAAATATACCTTGCTAAGACAGTGTACATTATGAGGTGTTAATTGCAAAGGACTGTGTTTGCAGTTCATGTATTTAGCTCATATATTAAAAATTCAGGATAAAACTGTTCAGAAATGTTTACTATAAGGCTAGGCTTAATATTCATATTTAGCTCTAGAATCATATCTAATTCATTATGGAACTTGGCTCTTTGATGTCTGCAAAGTTTTTGTGAAAATAGTATATAAAGAAAATGCCATCTTAACTTCACTGTTAAATATGCAAATTGTTTTCTTCTTCAATTCTTGTTAATGATTAATCATTTCTTTCATGTGCCCTTCTACTAAGATATAATCAAGCAAGAATAAGGGAACACTATGGCTAGATATGGCTAACAACTTCCAAAACTGTTGGGCTACGAAAGTTCACACTTTGGTATGCGAGTTCAAAACAAGGTTAAAAGTGTTCAAATTAGCCAATCAAACAAGATCTATGTGACAGAGCTTTTAGCCCATGACAGAAACGCCCTTCTGTAGCGAGAAGCTCTTGTCCCATCTCCATACCCTCACCTGCCCATCTCTCAGCAAGCTTACTCAGAGTGAGAGCTGCACTGCAGAATTGTTACATAGGAATGCATTATTAAAAACAGAATGGATACAGCAAAGGACTGAATGTGGTATTAGGGTCAGAGGCGAAGTGTGTGGCAGAAGTGAGGACATGGATATAGACCAAGAAGATGAGAACATCTGATTCCCAAGTCCCAGATCACAAAGTCCCACTGGTCCCCACTGTTTCTGTAAACATTCAGATGGAGAATATGCAAATGCATCAGAGCGTGGAAGGCGGGAAGGTGAGGGAGAACAGCAACAATACAAGAGTCAGGCTCTCGGGATCCAAAACCACTACAAACTGGACCAGTACTGAGCAGCCATTTAGCACCCAAAGAACAAGTTAGAAAACACTTTTTCACATTCCAAATAGCTCAGAATTCCAGATTTCCTGGGGAGAGACAACATGGGGAAAGAGGGATTTGGGTATTATTAATTTAATCTGTGGTGTTGAGGATAAAACAACTATAAACATTTTTATTTGTAATGCAACCCAGAGCTTCGAACCCTGTACAAGAAAATATGAATATATCATCTCACAGTTTAATGATTTTTTATTCATTTATTCATTTCCAGGTTTTTCTGAGACAGGCTCTCATGTAGCCCAGGCTGGCCCAAACTTGAAGTCCTCCCTGCTCTGTCTCCCAAGTGCTGGTATTATAAGCATGAGCCATGATACCCGGATAAGTCTGCTTTGGAACATATTTCTCACAGACAGAAAAATAAAAATCTAGAAATACAAATTAAATAATAGTATGACTTCAGAAGAGCAGTAGGCAGAACTAAGCTATGAACTTCATCTAATGAATTTGAAGCAGATTTTTAAAGACATCAAGTACATAGAGCCAGCAAGGAGCCCGAGCAGGGCTAGCAATCTACAGAAAGTAACTCAGGAGGGGAAGCACTCCTAGCTCCTTCTGACTCCTTTCTTTTTAAGCTGTCACAGAGAAAATGCTCCACTGGTTTCTAGAAATATGGAGGAGATCCATTTGTCCCACCCCTTGTTAAGTCAGTTCCAGGATTTCACTGGGATGTTATGCAACAGCAAACTTGGAGCCACAATGGAGAATCAAATTCATCTTAAAAAAAAAAATCTGAGTTCCTACAAAGAAACAAGGACTTCATCCTATTTGATTAGTGTATACACTGAAGGTCCTGCATTAGTATAAACTTTGATGTGAGAAACTCTCCCACGCCTAATATAAGTAATATATGACTACACTAAAGCTATAATATGCACTTTATTATAGCAGCTATCACTTTTAGCACCTACAGCCTCCACACTTGGGACTTTACCCTTCAGCACGGTTCCAGGATAGACAGGAAAACAAGCCTAAGAGAAGGTAAAAGATTTACAACAAAACAAAACAAACAAAAAAACATATGCAGTGGCAATGTGGGATCTGAAATCAGTTCTCTTTGCTGTCAAAAGTGCTGTGTTTGATACTATGATTCAGTACCTATGCCAAAACAGCTGATGGGTATAACCCACCTTCATATTTCTGGCAGAATTTACTTATGTTAAAGGGGAAACAGCAGCTCAGAGTGAGTGACTCTACGCATGCAACTCACTGTGTCTGAAGACCCACCCATCCTAATCTGGGAAATTGTACCTGGTGACAATCTTGGTGTCACAGATTTTGTTTCACCTATTTTATTCTTATACAATGTGCGGCTCTTTGCTAAAGGAACACAGGCAGGAAAGGGTTAACAACTCAACCCCCCCCCAAAAAATGAGGAAAAACAGCCCCAACACTCCTAGTCATCTTATTTTTGCTCTGTATTTATTTCCTCAATCAACTAAACATTTGTTCAACAGTATGTTGAACAAGTAATAGTTGAAGGCCATTAAATCTTTCATAATAAAAGGGCCCAAAGTGAATGTCCTGGCACATACATCAGTCCTTAAGTCCTCCCTAGTGGCATCTTTGGATACCATCATCTCTGTCATACCTGAAGGCTAAGTCCATCCTTTTAATTGAAAAGTTTACTTAAAATTTATTTTAGCACATTAATATACATTTCCAGTAAAAGGGGTGCCTTCTTTCCATAATAGGAAAATATGCTCAAGAAATTTTTCTCAGTACATTCTACACATTTCTGTTCAAAAGTAAGCTAGTTACCCTGAGCTCTGATTCAGCTTAAAAAAAAAAAAAATGCCTTTTGGACCAGCACAGGAAGATTTGGTGGACTTTGCAGAGCCCCCGTTGAGGGTCCTACCCTGCCTGGGGAGTGGTGGGTGGATGGGGTGGGGGGTAGGTTGGGGGTGGGGGAGGAGGAATGGGGGGGAGGGGAGGGAGAGGGAGAGGGAGAAGGGACTTACATGTGAAACAAGCTTGTTCCCTAACTAGAACTAATAAATAAATTAAAAAGAAAAGAAAAGAAAAGACGCCTTTTGAATGTAAGAATTTTACATAATTTGTGCCTTGGTTGAGACCCCAATGTTTCATTCATATATATTTATCTTTAGCTGAAGCACATATAACTACACTATTAGCAAGCAACCACCTACTTAAAAGTAAACAAAAACACTTGAAATACAGTGTTACTGTGTGATGAAGATACCTAAGCCTCCTTTGTCCTTTCATCAAACACTCGAGAGTCAGAATAGATTTCTTTCATTCAAACTCTCATAAACATAAAGATTTTTTTATGCTAGGTAATGTTAGTGGTATTTCTGATTTATTAATCATTAAAAACAAAGCCAAACCGATGAGTATTGCATCACTAAGAACTAGATTTTTTTCCAGAAGTCAATAGTCTACAAAACGAGCCATTTAAACTTAGTTCTCAAACCCCGACCTTTCTCCCTTTTTCCATACTATTTCTGACCTGTCCCTGAGAAGAATATTTTTGCCTATGCTGAGCGGTATTTATAGAACACATTTCCCTATCCTCCACAGGGTGGACATGAAAACATGTCTCTTGGCCAGTGGAACTTCGTGACCCCGTCCCTTGGGGTTGGCCCAGTCAACTCTCAGCTGTCTACTAATGGACAAGTCACAGTCGTGAAGCACAGTGACTGCTCTACGTTCCCCTGGGGCTTTCAACTTTGCAGACGTGTGCCCCACCACCTCCAAATTGAAACAAAGGACGAGATTTGCCAAAAAGAAAAAAAAAAAGAAAAAGAAAAGGAAAAAAAAGGAAAAGTAAAAAAGCAAACCAACCCTCTCTCCAGGCAGTCAGGAAAATAGGAAACAAGGGAAGGAGGGGTCCAAACAACAACAGGCTCCTTTGGCCTGGACACCGCGTAGTCGCTGCCCCTTACCCAGACGGGACAGTCGTGCACTACCAGCTTGACGTTCCCGAACGCACTGGCCTGGTACTCGGTGAACACCGGGCGCGCGACCGTGCTGGCCGCGTTCAGCAACAAGCTGCTCTCGTCCCCCGAAACCAGCGGGCTTCTCCCCAGATAGGTGCGGATGAGCCCCGACGGCCGGCTGTCCTGGTGGAACGTGTCGCCTTCGTTCCCCAGCGCCACGATGTGGATGGACCTGCGAAGCCGAGAGAGGCGCGGTGAGCGGGTGGGCGCAGCCAGGGCGCGTGGCACGTCCGGAACCCGGACCGTGGCAGGACGGCGACGCGTACGTACATGATCGCGGCTGGCAGGGCGGCGGGGAGACGGCAGCGGGGGGGCCCCCCCCCCCGGGGGCCGGGGGGGGCG